CAACCATGCAAACCAACTTGGTGGCTTTAAATAGGCCACAATTTTCAGCCTCAGAAAGTGACAAAAAATCATCCCCTCTGAAAACATTTTGCCAAGAAAAGCCCATAATTTTATAATGAGGTAAAACAATGCAAAAGATATTCACCAGATGTTACTAGTCAGCTGTTTATTTGATAGATAATATCTGTTTTCTTTTCTACTTGACCATCAGATCCCTTTCTACTTTGTCACCCCGGCAACCCAGTTCTAATATGAGACTCATTTACTTCCCCTTTCTTCTGTTTACTGCAAACCAGGGAGATGCAGAGATGGAAAAAATCTGGTTTCTGAAGGACCATAAGAAGCATCTCTTGGCCCAGTTGGAAGAGAAGGAATATCAGATTAGAAGGAAGACAAATGACGAGGAACTTCCTTCTCGAGAAAATCTCATCCTGAAGATGCAAGAGAAACTCCTGCAGGTAAGACTGGCCAAAACAAATGTAGCAGTTTGCCAATGGAAGGAGATACAAAAATTTTGTATATGGGTGGAGAATCCTTGCTGTATCTAAAATTGCTTGGCACCAGAAGTGTTTTAGGCTTTTAAATTTTTTGTAATATTTGTATGATATGGGAACCAAATGCAAACATTGAATTAATCTTCATTGCATATACAACTTGCATGCCTAAGCAAATTGTTTTCTTCAATGTGGTTCCACCTCAACAGCTCCTACTGGTCAGGAATTATGGAAACACATGAAAGACTATTCTTTTGGATGAGGGCTTAAGCCTTATGGTCACTTTCTGAAAGCTTGGTATTTAGTGGATTTATTATAGGAGCTGGCTGGAAACATTGGTGGTTCTAAAGTCGTTTACTTCCCTTTTCTTCTGTTTATTGCAAAACCAGGAAGATGCAGAGATGGAAAAAATCACACAAAATTGCTGGTTTCTGAAAGACAAGAAGAAGCATCTCTGGACCCAGATGGAAGAGATGGAACATCAGACTGAAAAGAAGAGAAATGACCAGGAACTTTCCTCTTTAGAAAATCTTATCCTGAAGATGCAAGATGAACTCCTGCAGGTAAGACTGGAATAACCAAACCTAGCCACTTGCCAATGGAAAGCGATACAAATGTTTTGTGTGTAGGATGAAAATCCTTGTCCTATCGGAAATGCTTGGGGCCAGAAGT